AGATAGTTTTACTGGTATTTTTAGACAAGTTAGTCTGTCTTTTGTAACAACCAATTAGTAAATGTCGCCGAGAACTTTCATCATGAGCCTTAGCCATTAAGATACCGAAACGGTTAAGCTATATTAGGTAGCATATGTAGCGGCATGAGACTGTCATCCCTGAAGTCGTAGGTTCAATCCCCGGCTGTGCACCAATAGACTTTCTTTCTATGTACGCCGCGCACTTAACATACGCTCGAACGGTATATGAAAACATAGTACGGAAACCGGCTTGCCTTAGACCCAGTCGTCGGCGTGTGTCAGGCACAGCACAGTCTGATCTGACCTGACCTACTTGCCTATTAGATTAACAAATGATTGAAACAGATCGTAGCGACAAATACATTTTGCGGCTATTAATAGTAAGTACTATTACATCATACCTTGAATCGCGTTAACACTATTATTTCGACCGCTAAAGATATGTATATCAACATACAACTTATCCACTGGGGGCTTCGAGCCACTCCAGTGGCTAACCTGAACGTGGATCTGCCCTTTTGGTCGGAGGAACCCACAACTCAGCTTTCTGTTAAAAATATTGCAAAAGTCTACATGGGTCGAGTCATTGTATCTACGTATATATTTATAACAGACAAAGAATTGCTGCGTCGCAATGACCATTCGGTTCCTCTGATACTCGTGATATTTCAGCCACATGTAGTGGTCTTCACAACTTACAGAGGCTGTCAAATAGTTAGTTAAAACTTTATTTCAAATGAAATGTATCTAGGTTAGAATAATGCAGCGTAATATTGTATTTGCAATGTACAAGGGTTCCGACTTGTGCCGGCGGCGTCGCGTCAAATATTCATGACGAGGGAATTGCAGAGCGTACCCTATCCCCGAGCTTGAAGTACTGTTAGGAAATTTCTCTTTAGAAATAAATCTTGTTTTATATCCTAACTTTTGTCACAAACCAACTTCTGTTAAAACGTTGAAAACCACAAGTCACTAAAAAGAGTGCGACAGCAGTAATAAAAATAATTTGACGGCTCATTGTTCTAGTTCTTAGTACCCCTGACTGCGAATCCATGGGTCCCGGGTTTGATCTCCGGCTGAGACAAACATCCATGTGATGAGCATTTGGTGTTGTGCTTAGGTCTTGGGTGTTTAAATATGTATTTATATATCTATGTTTCCATAATATGTATGTATATCCGTTGCCTAGTACCCATAACACAAGCTTCACCAGCTTAGCATGGGACTAGGTCAATTGGTGTGAATTGTCCAATCATAAAAAAAAAAAAAAAAACCACAAATGACTGGGTTCTATATTCAATATAACAGTCATAAGTGCTACGGGTTGATTTTTTTCGTAGTATTTGACAAATACAACTAGCATTTGGAGTAATTGAATCAGTAGTTTTGCAATTGAAATCTTGCTAGCATGATAAATTTATACTTAAACTAAGATGTGAGTAGGAAACACGATATATTTTATTAATAATGACAGTTTCTGGCACAAATCAATTTGCCTTAAACAGACACGCAGTGATCATCATTTAGACGTTACGCCATAATACACAGACATATTTGGAGTTACGACACACCGATTTTCGAATTTAGGTTTGCCAGGCGAGAAGATAATTGATCCAATTAGTCAGGAGACGAGGGTGAGACGAAGAACAACCCTTTGAACTTGTGTTTCGCGGTTCTAGACGTGTTTGGGAAAATATAATGCTTTGAATATTATGCATTTCTATATATTTGCTAAGGTTGATATGGAAGTGTAATAAAAAGCGAACAGACGTAAGAAACCGCATGTACTATTTAGTTTAGTACCTACTTTTAATATTTTGATGCCCGTAACTAATTCCACTATGACGTCGTTAACATCGTCAAACGTTTGAATCTATAAGAAAAGGTTTGACAGCTCTTAAATCTTGATTTTAGATCGATCGGTGATAAAAAACATATTTAAAATTGATGAATTTCAACTAATTTTATAATTGAATTACATTAATCTCTTATTTAATTTCTTTGCACATCTATGTTATTTTTAATTCAGAAATTCCAATCTCATTTTATCCCACGTTAAATCTTATGAATTTATGAGTCTGTCTCTTTTTCGTTTCATCGACTTTCAAATCACATTGATGCTAATAAAGTTTTCAATTCAAAAATTTCGTTATTTGACTAAAAAAGTGATTTAGTGAACAGCGCATAAGTTCACATTTATAATTAGTCATTTTAGCAAAAAAAAATATATGATTCAATCCAAAATCACAACCACCACTAAATCTTGCATAGAACTACATATATCTGTAAGGCTTTTTAAAAAAATAAATATAATACATTAAAATTAATAATTTCCTACACAGCCTGACTATAACTATATAATGGAATAGAGAAATCGTTAGGGTAGGATAATAAATATCAAAAGCATAGCAATAATCACACTTCATAGATATGGCATATATTGTGTGAAATGAGCTACCATCCTGGTATCCATATATGTCAACGGAAAAGGTAGAATTAAAAGAGAAGGTTCTAGAACAAAATTCGAAGCTTATTATGTGTAGCTTGTCGCTTCGCGTCGTGGTAAGGGGTACGTGGGGGAGGTCGTTGGCTGTTTCCCTGCCCAATTGAGTTAATTCTTGTTGGTAATTGGAATTATTTCGTACAATAATTGCTTGTCGTTAGAACAGAGACAATTTGTAGGCGGAGGTTAATGAATATGATTAAGTTGACGAAATAATCGCGGTAGATAATCAAACTTTAATATTTCAACATTTTAGGCCCTGATTTACGGAAATTATTGACACACAGAATGAGACAAAGAAAAAAATACTTTAGTCAAAATCATAATCGTATTGTATCTATGGACATTTTATTTAAAAATCACTGTGGCACTACAACCTTCTGGGCCAGTCATGTCTGGGCCTCAGATTTCTGTATCTGTTCCATGATCTTTTGTTAATCTAATACACAAGTAGGTCAGCCCGTGTGTGTGCCTGACACATGCCAACTTTTTGGGTCTAAGGCAAGCCGGTTTCCTCACGATGTTTTCCTTCACCGTTCGAGCGAATGTTAAATGCGCACATAGAAAGAAAGTCGAACCTACGACCTCAGGGATGAGAGTCGAACGCTTAAGCCACTTGGCCAACACTGCTCCTTGAATAACATCCAATAATAAAACCAGAGACTGCACTGTTTTAATATCTAAAGGGTCAAATAAGGGTACCAAAATTATTCAGTAATTTCTACAATATCGTACAATCTTAAACGTTCTTGAAGAGTTCGATCCAACCCTGAGGGCTAAGTTGGGGCTAACTTTTATTATCGTGAGGCACGCAACGGAGGGAAAAGTAGCTTAACTCGGCTGGTTTTGTTAAAGAATATTTTTATGTGTAAAAACTACACGTTTTCTAAGAATCGACGAGTTTATAAACTGACCCGCTCTTATCTGTTTAGAAGAGTACTTTTGATTCTCAAGTACATGCTAGATCGGTAAAAGTACCACGTAACTTATAACAGGGATCTCGATCCTCAATATTGAGCATGTAAAAGTTTTCTTTAAGTAGATAGGTGAAGTCTGGTTGGGTAGGCCTTGTACGCACCTGGACCAAATCCAAGAAATACTAGATAAGGGACAAGCTAAAAGTACCCATTATCGATGCATGCATGGTGTCAAGTGGAGATTCGTGGTCCGTCTATCCCTTCGGGAAAAACGCGTGATATAAATAAATAAGTTTTCTTTATCTGCACTTCGGTATGGTCCTTTTTAGTATAATATAATTATTATGACTTTGGCACTTACTTATAAAGTGGTGCCGTTCAGGGAACTTCAAACTAAAATATAGATAACGTGAATTTTTTGTCAGATTGTGGTCGAAGAGTAAAGACATCATTGTTTATACGATTGCTGGTTTATAGATTTGTGAGACTTAAAACATGACACTACCTTTTGCACCTTGGTCATTTACTAGTTATGTGATACTTGAAGTATTAATAATAATATTAATACAAGTGCTCAGGCGCTAATCAAAGATAAAAAGTATGGCCACACAATTTTTTTTTAATTAATTTTAGTGTTATATTTGTTTATTTTTAAATTAATTTTTTAGACATTTTTCTAAGCTATATTATATCTTATTAAACCTACAACTTACATGAAGATGGGCAAGGCACGTAGCCCGACAGATGACAGATAGTCTAAAATAGTAACCGAATGGACTGGTCCAAAAGGAAAAAGGAACAAGGGCAGACCAATAGAGCGATGGGCCGACGGGATCGAAATTGCTGGAAAAAATCGGAGGACGAAGGCACACAATAAAATAGGGTGGAAAAAGTTGGAGGAGGTCTTCACCCGGTCAGGGGCCTCATCTTAGAGTAGTTAAAATTGTATTTATATTTATTTTTCTTAAATGCATGTCAATAAGACGTGGACGATTAAAGGCTTATTATTATTAAACCTATAGCAAGCCCCATCTTGTGCCGTCATAGATTGGGATATCTTCAATCGCTTTACAATGCTTTTTGCAATTTTTGAGAAGCAGCTTTATCGTTGCTAATAAGACATGTAAATTGTATTTTAGATCATATGTCAGACTAACTACGCGCCCCATGTTTGCCTTCATTACGTCATAGTCGCTAGACACGGGAATAACGAGGCATTGTTTTACAAATATTTACTTATCGTTAGGAGTCTCCTCTATTTGCTCAACGTGTTTTGATAACTTCCCCTGCCGTATCCGATTGTGGGTAGAACCACTTGCTCAACTTATAACAGTTATATAATTGCGAATAAAGTTCAATTCCGAAGTACTTCGAAGTACTTTCTAATTACTAGTTAAAGAAATGAATCAGTGCTTAAAGGAAATTTTGTGCACGAAAAATGTTCTTAGTCTTCCAAATAAAAAGGCAGGTCTCTGATTCGATCCAAACAAGTATACGATAGTTCTAGTCAAGTTTGGGTGTTAGAGGAGGATTTTTATATGCTGCTAAAGAATTCATAGTTAAGATCTCTCACCTGTGTCTCTAAGTTGCAGGGATCCGACCTTCTCGAGATAGCCCCTGATAGAGGTAGCGACGCGCGAGGGCGAAGCGGCCGCGGCGCCGCCCCTCAGCGCCCCCTGCAGCCGCCCGAACAGAGCTCCCCCCTCGTGCTCCACGGTCGTGGCCCCGGGGCTACTGCCCCACACAGTTGAACTCAACACTAACGTTTAAAAATGGAAAAATTGAACCCTTCACTTGGTTTTATTCTAATTTTAATCTTAGCTGTATATTCTGTGCTTATAATGCTATCAGTGCATGTTTGATATGTATTGGTTGTTCAGAGCTTGCCCATGGTGCGCCAAAAATCTGAAACAATTCAAAAATAATAATTTTATTCATATATATATATATATATTATAATAATTATTAGCCACTAATCTTATAAAATATACTCTTAATAGTTTTGTTTTAACTGAATTGAAGTTACCATTATCAACAATAAAAGTTTTAATTCAGAGGGGCTACATTTACGTAGGAAAGAGAGCGGAAGTCATAAACTGTGGCGGTTCCGCAAAATGGCGGCCGGATACGTCTCGAGAGACTGTTTCCGGTGGTTCACATCCGAAAGTTATTCTGAATTCTTACTCTGTAGTGAATAGGTTGTAAACAGCCGGATGCCTTTTATTAAGTAGTAAATATTAAAGAAACATAAAATTATTATTATTACAGTTATATCAATTAACACGCTCCTGAGTATGGCATTCAGGAGTCACTGAAAAAAAGCCATTTAGACGTTTACATAATTAGACGAAGAATCTAAGTATTCTAAAAAAACCTACAAAATCCTCAATTAATTTTAATATATGAACTCAAATACACAGTGACAATATTTTCTCCAAAATTAATGTTACTATGTAGTTTAGTTACTAAACCGAGTCACGTGACTATTATGTAAATTAGATCCATGCGGTCAATACTAAAAATAAAACATTAAACATTTTATTAAATACGTAATAGGGCGCGCCGCCGGCCGCCCGCCCTAACGAAGTTAGTTTGCCGCGCTTTGTCCGCTACAGTCAAACAGTTCTTAATATTTTAAAAAGGAAATCACTATAAATATAATACCTTGTTACATATGTAAGTTTAGTAGAGAGGTTATATATATATACAGTCTAGTTGAATTAACACTCTTGGCTTTAAATATTTTTTACCAAAAATATTAATTTGAACAATATTTTAATACTAAATATCGGATTTAGCTACTCTTATTCTAAATCATTACAGATCTTTATAAATTATAAACATAATTTTTATCCAGAAAATCACTGCAATACTCCTATAAATGACCTCTCTTTCTCTCCTATGTAATAACAAAAGCTCCCTCCCTCACACTATTACGTAACCACATTACATAACTACACAAAATTACATATTACACACACTACATGAAATATACATCACAGACGTTTAAAATAAACTGTTTAATACTAAAAATATAAGATTTAATAATAACCTTTGTTTTGTTGGCGCGAGCTTGGCACACCTGGGATTCGCAAGCCCAGACTGGCAGCCTTCGTGAGATCTCCATCGAAGCCTCCACGGACATGCGCATAAGCGCCGCGCGTGGTTGGTGGATTGGGAATTGTGACGTCACACCCAGTCTACCAATCGGCGGGTCCTGAATTTCATGTAGGTATAGGATGGGTCGATTACTAAAAATAGGCCCGAGGGCAAAAGCTCTGGTCGATATACACATTACTTATGTGCTAGTCAACGGATGGCAATACTTCTAGCAATCTTGCTAGCTACACTGAATAAGAACTAAACATCTTTTAAAACTAGTGACCTGTCCCTGTTTTGCATGTCTATGTTTCTTTTTAATCTTTAAGGAACATAGCAGCCATAGCCATAGCTTTGGACATCAGACATAGACTAGCATTGTAATGGTGAAATAATTGAAATCGGCCCATTAGATTTTGAGTTCTTTTTATAATAGTTATAAGTAAATTTTAATAATAGTATTGAAAGAATTTATAATAATTTTAATTTCAGATACTTTTACACTTTATATCTATCATTATTTTTAAATATCTGTGTGCCCTTGTTGGCACCATTCCTGTCTGTACTGTACCACTCTCTGCAATGTACCAATGCTGTTCCTTAATATCTATCCACCTTTCAAATTATCTTCCTCATTTGCGTTTATTGTACCTTTGGCACCAGTTTAGTACTTTCTTGGTCCACTTTTCTGTTCCTCTTGCCATGCCCCGCCCATTTCCACTTAAGATTATTTAATATTCATTAGAATTACCAGCGAACTATTTTACTTAATTTTATCGCGGGTATTTTTTCAGTAAGTTTACTTTAAGCCTGTGATCCAATGCTCATAAGTTTTCCTTAATAGGATTTTTGTGCATTTCTTTAATCGTGAATACAATTTTACTTTTCTGCCAATGTTTTTGTAATTTTTTTTAATGCTATATGCACGAGAAAGGAGATATATACCGATAAATTTCAAAACAATAATACTACAGAATTATTTTAAAAAAGCTAACATTCTGCAATATGGACTAAAGAGATGTATTGCTCTTATGTAGCTATCATAGTAGCTTTATCTTGACTCCGTCTTCATCATCAGTTGAGTTCACTCAATACAATTGAGATAGATAATGTTTAAGTTTTTATTACAAAATATCTGAACCTCATTAAGACTACTTTTAATTTTATCAGAAACCCTTACTTGATGATGTAAGAAGGTTATCACTTTTACAGCATTCTTCAAATCGACCCAGGAGTATTAGTTATGGAGTAATGAGTAGAATAAATATTATCTGGTGTTTGATAACAGAGACAGATTTCATATCAAAATTCAAGCAGAAATTAAACCTAAATCCAAAATATCAAATATCTAAGGATAGCTTGGGGTGGAGCTATAATATTAATTTGAATTGTAAATGACGGATCAAATCGACCGCGCGCCAAGCTCGCACTTGCAATACTTTAAATGTAAAACTTGCTAAAATAAATCTACATTTTTATAAGACAAAACGAAAAAGCTGCGGGAAAAATAATGTGTTTAAAGACTAGAAAGGCCTAATGATAAGGGCTTGTGCAATTGCGCATTTTAGCAATTGTGGCCCGGCCACAATTAGGGCCTAATCGGTAAGGTCATGCACCTACGCCTGTTGTCTCATGTCTGCCTATCTGAATAAATTTTTCTAATCAGAAATTGATTCTAGGCCCCCATATTGAACGGCTAAACGTTAACTAACCTAGGTAAGGCAGGTTAGCACACTTCTCTTTATAAAAATTGCGCAATTCTAAATAAATATGTTTGGTTAGATATGCTGTTTTTTTATTAATTTATATTAACAAAGTTATAGAAATAATATTGTTATAGTTTTACTGTATATATCTAAAACAGTACTACGTACTCTTGAATATCCTCCTGATTTGAAACTTAGTATGCAAATTAGGGTAAACTGTACAAAACAAAATGTTCTCATCATATCAAATCAAAAATATCATTTGTTCATGTAGTGTAGGTAAGTTAATTAACTAAATTTATTTTATTAACCTATGAACGCCAGCAAAAAAAGTAGTTTTAAATTTATATAGGGACTTATAGGGAGAGATACAACCCCTACATAGTATTCTAATCTTTTTAACACATATTAGAGAATATAGGCAGAGGCCTATGTCGCATGTTATCCATATAAACTGCATTTGATGTATCTACTTATGATTAAAGTGCGATCCTTTGGTTATCGTCAAAACATTATGTGCAAAGAGGGGGTAGCTAACATAGTTATTATTTTAAAATAAATATAAACCTAAATTAAGAAACAAAACGCTTAGCTGCTTTTTATGGCAACAGTGAACTGTGTCATTAATTAAAAACAAAGTAGCAGATGATCAAAAACCAACTTATAACAAATCACCAACTTGCAATATATGAAGCAAAAACGTTTAAAATAAAAAAATAAAAATATGTTTATTATGGAACTAGGTACATGTATCACTTATTCCACGTCATTAAATTTGAAGGCATCCCTACTCATGGCAAAGAAGACAGAGGGTGTAGGCCGAGAGAAAAGCCGCGTAAAAACTCTCGGTACTCTTTTAAAACAGCAAATCATCAAACAACACTTATTTAAAACAAATATCGCAAATTGATTAGAAGTAGCCTGTCTAGCACTAGTCCCAGGCCCTTTTATCAATAGATAATCGTTGACTTTATAGTAAGCCTTTTTACACAGCTTTTCTTTAATACATTTCTTAAATTTTTGAAAGGCAGTGATAAAAGAGCCTCTGGGATTTTATTAAAGAAGAGTATCCCTTTCCCAAAAAAGAATTACTAACTTTAGAAGTCTAGTACGGGGAAATTGCAGCCTGGTTTGTTCCGTGTATTAACATTGTGCGTATGTTCTATTCTGTAAACTTATCACTATTTTTGTATACATACATAATATTTTCATAAATATATTGCGAGGGAAAGGTAAGTATATTAATTTCCTTGAATTTATCTCTAAGAGATTCCCTACATTTTAAATTATGATTGCACGAATAGCCCTCTTCTGCAGGATGAAAATAGTTTCGACATCAGCAGCATGACCCATAATAATAAGCCATAAGTCATTAAGCTATGAAAGTAACTAAAATAAACAAGTCTAGCTGTATCGACATCAGTTAGTGAGCGAATTTTTTTAACCGCGTAGGCTGCAGAACTAAGTCTCTTCGCCAATCCGTTAATATGAGGGGACCACTGAAGTTTTGAATCCATGGTGATTCGAGAAATACAGTTGTATCATCCAGATTCAATTCCTCACTGTTTATAATTGGTCTAGTATCCATAACCCTTGCATTTTTTGCACAAAATTTAATGCATTTTGTCTTTTTGCATTAAGTAGAAGGTTATTCATACTAAACCAAGGACAATCGAAGACAGAGCATTGTTCACATCGTCAAAATTTGTTATTTGTCGTTTGATTTTAAAAATCAAGGACGTGTCATCAGCAAACAAAACTATCTGATTTTTCTCTCTACCATGAAAGGTAGATCATTTATATAAACAAGAAAGAGGAAAGGGCCAAGAATTGAGCCCTGTGGTACCCCATATCTACTGCCGACCCAGAGGACCTTTTACCATTCACTTCAACCTTCTGAGTTCTTCCGTGTAAATAGGAAGTCAGAAGATTCAGTGCGGTATTCTTGATGCCATAGTGGCGGAGTTTCCCGATTAAGGTCTCGTGTTGGACACAATCAAATGCTTTGATAAGTCGCAGAAAACACCTAAAGCGTCATGCGACTCCTCCCAGCCTTAACTATATATCTATATACTCACACCGGCATCGGCTGTCGAGCGACCCTTGGTAAAACCGAACTGATTATTATGTAATAATTTGTTTACGTTAAAATGACTTACCAGTTGATTTAATATAATTTTTTCAAATATTTTACTAAAGTAGGTAGTACGGAAATTGGTCTAAAGTTACTGGGGTCGGACATACTACCTGCTTTAAATAAAGGAATAACTTTACTATGTTTCATTGATCGGGAAACTCGCCACTTTTAATACAATTGTTGAAAATTATAGCTAGATGGGGAGCAATTACATCAATTATGCTACTAATTATTTTTACAGAAATACCCCAAAGATCGGTAGTGTTCTTAATATCTATGGTTCTAAATATCCTCACTATATCGTCGGCACCAATGGGTCGGAATGAAAATGGGTTGATTTGTGAAAATGGGAATGGGTTTGGTGGCTGTTGATACACAATATCTATTAACAATAAATATTGCGCCCTGTGTACCCCTTGATTGACGGAAAACGCCACACACTTCTGAGTGGTAGGGTAGGGATCAGGAAGCAATTAATACAGGAACAATGAGAAAGATTAGTAATAATTCAATACAAACACAAAAAGTTCACTGCACGCGCAAAATATTCACGAAATATAATACTGCCCTGCGATTCTGTAACTCACTTTTCGAACTCACACAGCGGTTTTCGCATCGGCGGTCGCTCTCAAATCAGTTGTGAAGCAGTCATTTTATGATTTGGCGCTATGTGAGTTCGAAAAGTGAGTTACAGAATCGCAGGGCTGAGGCCATAATTATTATTAAACTCAACATCGTCAAATATCAGAACAATTATTATTTATGTCTAATTCAGCGATCAAACAATTTCAAACTAATGTGTTGATATTTTTGGATATAAATAAATAAATTCTAACAAAACGTTTGTATGATATGAAATTAAGATACTTCTTTTGTGCAATCTGCAACTTTACTTAGGGACATAAGGGAAAATTGTCTTAATTATCACAATAGTTATAATTGTTAATAAATTAAATTTATATCAATAAATAATTCACCAATACTGCCATCTTTCGCTGTATGCAATATATTATTATATAAATAGGTATAGTAAGTTTCATAAGTCATGAATTAGTAATAATCTAATATACACCGATTCTTATGAAATTTTTTATGCATATTCAGTAAGTCGGAGAATTGGCAACTATTTATTTTTCAAACCCCAAAATGTTAAGGGTGGGTCCACCTATTTAATTTTTTATGATACAGCATACAAAAATACAAAAATACATACAACCCTTAATGGCACCCCTCTACGATCAACCCCTATTTTTGATTATAGTAGAGGTAGTTATTTTTATTGAAGTAAAAAAATGTTTCCTAGAAATAATACACATGGCAAAACGATGTTTGCCGGGCCAGCTAGTTTCATAT